AAGCTACACACTAAGTACACATGGACAGAAAGAAGGGAGCAATAGACACCAGGGCCTATTTGAGGGTGAAAGGTGAGAGAAGGGTGAGGATGGAAAAACCAGCTGCTGGGTAGCATGCTGATTACCTGGGTGACAAAATTATCTGTACACCAAACCCCCATGACACACAATTTACCCCTGTAACACACCTGCACATGTACCCCTTGAATCTAAAAGCTGGAAAGAGAAAGTCGGCTTTGTAATGAATAATAAATGGGATAAAGCATGGAAAAAAATTTCAAAAAAAAAAAAAAAAAAAAAAGCTCACTTGAGTCCAGATTTCAGCTCACCATCTATTTTATATATGTATGTGTGTAGATATACATATAAAAAAAAACCTGTTAAACTGACAAAATTGAGTTTTCCTTCTATTTCCATATTCTCCTCTTGGCATACTTCAGGGAGTTGAATGATCAGGCAACATATAGCAAAACAGGAGATGAGGACATAAAGTTTTAATTTTATAGAATGATGAGAAAATAATAATTTAGACTCATGATAACATGAGAAAATTTCCAATGTTTTGCATTATACAGAAAAATGTCTTGGATAGTATATCAACAAAGTATGAAAAAAATCACACAAAACAAATGCACGGCAGCAAGGAATTTCATTTCCATTTTTATTGGACATATTTACTAAATTCACTCACATTATGTAACAACTCATGCATAATTCTGATGAGTTGTTATTTCCTTTAAATCAGCCTTTTAGGTTCATATGCTTTCCTTAAAATGACAGTGATAGAATGTCAGTCATCTTTGACGGCAGAGGCCGGGTCCATAGCAGTGGCTGTAAATTATCTCTTGCAAAAACAAGAAAGACCTTAAATGAGCATCTCTAGCATCAGCAACTCTTCATCTTTGCCACAGAGACTGCTTGAGAAACACTCTAGTTCCCCTTTCAAGCCTCATTTCCATTTGAAGAGTGCTATTCCCAAACTGCTTCTTGCCACTCATTCCCAATGTCTATGAATTCACTCCAGGATCCAATCCCAGCACTAGATCAGTTAATAAGTGTCCCTCAAGGGGTATTCTCCCTGCTCAGTGTTCCCTGCAACTCCACAAAGAAAACTCAAAATGGCTCTGACTTCCCTTCAAGCTGAGGGACAAGCTGGACTGTCACCTCCCTTAGGCTGGCAAACAGGATTTCAAAAACCCAGGTAGCTTTAGATTGAACATAAACACTTTTCTGGGACTTCAAAACACTGGTGCCTTGGATTCAATGTATTAATAAGTACTTTTCCTACTAAAGATTTCATTTAATCCATCAGCTTCTGAGTCAGAACCAAACACCTTTTGACCTGAGGACAAGAGAAACCTTCTATTAAATGATAGGCTGCTCATGCTGCCCACAGGAGCAGCTGGGCTCCCGTTCAAATGATTTTCTTAATGATATCCTGGTATGATAAATACGGAGTTGATAAATGGCAAAAAAGAACGAAAGCATTTTTCACAACATTTATGAAGACTAAAACGTCTCATAATTCCTTAATATGGCTATTTTCGTAGTCTTCATAGTGTTTATATTAAAAATGACTTGCAAAATTTATATGTATATATATATACACATACACACAGAAACACACATGCATGTACATATCCATTTAAATAATATTTCCCCTCCCTGACAAGCATTAAGAGCCCATTAGTGAAAGAAAGAGGTAATTTTCCAAGCCGCAAGTCAAACGTATAGCTTTAGCTTGAGGCACACCCTGGTATGTGTTGCTATAAGGGTTAATGGTACTAAAGGATGTTTAGTTTAAAGGGTTTGTATTTTAAATTTTAAAATGAGTCAAGTGCTACCCATTTCCCCTTAGCCCCTCCTCTACAGTTTATCAAATCTAATAATGCAGCAGGCTAAACATGCTGAGTGCAAAGGTGAAACTGAAAATGACATTTCATACTTACACTTGTGGTCTAAGGCAAAGGGCTGGTATTGCAAGGGTGGTGTCTGGTTGTGAGAGGTTGTCTGACAACAGCAAGTACTTTTATCAGGGCACCCAGACAGTTGCAGGCAGAAAACAAATCAAAACTAACAAAAATAAGGATTTAAAAATTTACAAATTCAGATTCACAGAAAATTGGAAAACTGAATTGAAAGAGTTTTAAATGATACAGGCTAGGCTTAAAGCCTTCATGACTTGCAGGAATGTGGGTGATGGGTGTGCCAATTTTGGAATGTTGCTACTGGGCAAATAGCTAATTCTAATCCTTCTGGCTAAGGTTAAAAGACAGTTATTACAGATTAATCGGGAGAAAAAAACTTGTATGTTTAGGGAATGACATTAATGAGACTCCTAGGAAGCAAGGGCAAAATCTTTAAATAAATATCTTGCCTAGTTCCAATAAGAGAATTTGCATTTAAAACAAAGAATTAATTATGTGTAGACCAAGGGAGATAACTGACTCCTTAGAGGAAAAACATGTCCTTGGATAAAAAGATAACAGCTGCTGCAACTTTTACATTGCAGTTGTTTGCTTTAGTTGAAAAACAATTCAGCATTTCTTAGAAAATTCTATTCTCCTAAATCATATTTCTAAATACCAAATATAATGACAGCTTTACCATTTTTATTAAACAGATCTCTTGAAAGCTTTAAAAATTTCTTACTAACAGTAGACCAACACTAAAATAGGCAGGAAATGTTATTTTTCAACCCAAAGAATGTGCATTTTTGTCCAACTCTACAGCAATCGGCTGCTGGGACAGACAAAAGACTTGATACAAAGGCAAATAAAAGCCTGATTCTCATCCTAAGAATTAAAGATCTGTATTTCTACTAAGGAAGACGACAGAAATCTTACTGTATGAAAATTTCTAATAAATGGCTGGAAACTATACTGTAAAAATATATATACAATATTTTAGCTTCTAAGGCCCAAAAGATTTGCCCTTTTGGTATTTCCAAGACTCATTGTTAATAAATTAATTTTTATCTTTATTTTCTTTGCACTGATAGTAGTACATGTGATTCATGGGACTCTCAAAGAGCAGACAGATTCAACCAGATAGAATCAGGCAAGGCAATAAAAAACATCTTCACATGGGATTGATACTCTAACAAGAAATTTTAATTTCTTAAATCCTTATTTTATAAACATACCGGGCAATTACAGGAAACAAGGACACAGAAAGTGAGGCTGGAGGCAAATGGTAAGATAACCAATAGAGATAGATTTTTGCAAGATTTTGCACATTAACCACAGAGGAAGACAGTATAAGCGTTTTTGTTTGTTTGTTTGTTTTTCCTAAAAGAAGATTGTGGTTTAGCTGATCTATACAATATGGCAGCCACAAGCAACACATGTCCAATTAAAATATAAATTAATTAAAAGGAAAAATTTGTTTTCTAACTTGCGCTATAGTTCATGTATGTAATGGCCACATGTGGTTTGTGGCTACTGCTCTGAACAGTACAGATACAGATCACTGCAGAAAGTGCTAATGGATGGCGCTGGCTTAAAGGATGAAGAAAGGAGACAGAGAAAGGAGAAAGCATAACCTAGGTTCATAAGTCCAGAAAGTAGACCCAATAATCCTACTACCTTTGGATAGTAAGAATTTCTTTTTTAATATGAAACAAATTAAAATGAATGTGCTAAAGTCTTATTTATTATTATTATCTGAGATGCAGTCTCACTCTGTCACCCATGCTGGAGTGATGGCATGATCTCAGCTCACGGTAGCCTCAACCTCCGAGGCTCAAGGGATCCTCCCAACTTCCCCTCCTGAATAGCTGGGACTGTAAGTGCACACCACCACACCTGGCTAATTTTTGCAGAGATGGGGTTTTGCCATGTTGCCCAGGCTGGTCTTGAACTCCTGGGCTCAAGCAATCTGCCCATCCCAGCCTCCCAAAGTGCTGGGATTACAGGCGTGAGGCATAGTGCCCAGCCTAAAGTTTTATTTTTAAAAATAAAATGTGTGGGGTAATTATGCTAGAAGGTTCTAAGAGCTTTACATTTTATTTAATATTCATAGAAATCATAGGAGGTAGGCAATATAATAATCCCATCTTATAGAGAGTAAGTGAGGCTTAGACAGAGTGTATGAGTTACCCCAGGCCACTCAGGAAATGACTGGATTCCAAGCATGCTTTCTCTCTCAACAGCCAGAGCTCTTAAGGCTGCCTGCAGGAACTCCATTTGGGAATGAAGACAGAAGGTGCTCTAGATACTACTACCAGGCATGCACTACCACAAGTAGTGGGCCACAGCCTGAATGAATGGCTTCTTCTAAATTAGCATTCTTTCTCCTTTTGGTCTAAGATTCTCTTTATGTTGGGCATGATTACCTTCTATTAGTAATGGACAGTATTGCTTTCTAACCCCATTCTTATCCGAGCCCTCCACCTATCCACCTCTGAGCCTTCCAAGTCCACCATTTCTTTTCACCTGTTTCTCCTAACAGTTTACGACAATACCCAAAACCAGTTCAATACCTCTCAAGCTTTGATTTGTAGAATGGAGTATTCACCACACAGAGTACATTGGCTGTTCCAATCTTCTTTTATACCTACAAGTATTGATCTATTAAATATTTTTTTAATAATAAATTACTTCAAGCTATGGAAGGGAGTTCTAACTGCACACTTAAGTATTTAGTGTGCTCAAGGCTGAGCTGTGATGCGGGGTATCTCCTCTTAGATATGTCTGACACGGCAACTGAGCAGGTGTTCTTCGCCTTAGTTCAGAATAGCTCAGCTCTTATGGAGTCAATGTCCCATTAAATTGCTTAGAAAATTACTTTTTATCACTTATTATATATTTTAAAGCTCTTTTTCAATTGCTTGAATGAGTAACATCCCAACATTGTACAAATGAGTGACATCCCAACAACACTGTACAAAGATGCACCTGACTGCATTTTCTGAGGATCTTGCAGGAGCAGTCAGGACAGCCACCTGCTACAGAGGCAAAGGAGGAATGCGCATTACTTGTGTGCCGCCCACACCTTACCTTCGGGGCGAGCCATCATCATGGGGCTGGATGATGACCACCTTCACAGTCACAGAAGTACGGAGCAGGTCGATCATCTGCTCATGTGTGAGAGTGGCCACGGCTACTTTGCAGATCTCCACGAGGCGGCTCCCTTGGCGAAGGCCAGCCTTCCAGGCAAAGCCAAAAGGTTCCACATCTGCAACAATTCCTTCAAAATTCACATGGAATCCAAGCTGGCCCAGCCCGTTCCTCCTTAGGGTCATTTCCACAGTCTCACAGCCTCTTGTCACTATCTAAAAGGGAAGGAGACTTTTAGAGATGCCCTTCTTGCATCCCAAGCTGCCACGGGGCTCTATGAAGCAAAGGTGCACGTACAGGCCTCCATGCCAGCCCTCTCTCTCCCTTGGGCCCTCACAGCCTAGCCCATCTCTCTCTGCCTTTTCCTCGAACGGTCCAAGTGACAGGAAAAGGACATATTTAAGTTCAGAGCTTATCATGATTAACATCAGCATCAAGTGCAAATAAAATAACAGAAGTACAACAGTGGTTTCATTCTTCATTCTAAATCATATCTCTTCTTGATACAGGTATCCTGCTTTCTTAGATGTCACTGACCCAGAGCTTGGGAGCTTCAGATGGGCTCAGGTAATTCTCCTACTGACTTGGCTTTTAAACATACAAATCCTGCTGTTCTAGATGGATTATAGAAATGGAAAACATGTAAAGACTTTGGAGGCCATTAAAAGTTTCAATCAGCAAGCACTAAAAACCATTAGACGATTTATTCATCCCAAACAAAGAAAAATGTCCCATGGCACTTGAAAGCTAACACTCAAGAGCCCACTCCTAGGTTCAGGAAGGGCAATAGCAGAAAGAGCCTTAAGAAAATTCTCAATGTTCTCTATGCCCCAGCCCTGGGGACATACTGTGGAGGTACTGTTTTGCTCCCTAAGGTCCCTCTCCTGATGACAGACAATTGCCTGTGCTTGCCTGGGTGGTGACGGCCATTCAGATCCATAGTGAGGGCAGGCCAGCCAGACTCCTTGACCATCTGTTCACAAGGCAAGTGTGTAGGATAGAGCTCTGGCAGGCAGCAGAAAGACCCTCCATGCCTATGGGCTGCCTCTCCTCCACTGGGCCTCTCCCCTGGGGGCTGAAGGCAACCCCAAGCAGTGAAAGCCCCAGTGTATATATCTTACCCAAGAGAGAGAGAGTCAACAGCAGTCCCACGAAAAGCAACATGATAGAATGGTGGTTTGCATCCCACTTGGTACATTAAAGCACTACAAATGCAGCCCTCAAAAGCACTCACTGAGGACACTTTACATGCAATAAAAGAAAAACATGGGCTCATTAAATACCATTTGATGACTATGACATCATATTTGTGGGAAGTTTCAAGTTGAGAGGTATGATACTCCTATTCCCAAAAGCCCAGAGGCAATGTATGAAGTTTCAGTTTAATGAATGCTCCATTTCTATGAAACATGCTCTGAATACATAGATACCTATTTAATAAGACCTATGACAGTAAGTACAGCTGTGGGACTGGGGCTGCTTCATGTATCACTACTATATCTGATGTTTCTATGGTTACCCCAAGTGCACACCATGCCAATCAGCTTTTCCCAGACAGGTATGACAGTTCAGGACTCAGCAAAATGTGGAAAGGGACTGCTGATTTTAGTTAGTGGTAAAGTTTTAGAATATTGACATTTCTAAAGTCATGAACTGAAGTTAACTTAAAAACTTGAAGAAGTATTTCTGTAATATGCACAACACAAATTTTGTTCACTTCTTTTTCAACTTTGTTTTAAGCAATCCTATTAAAAGACTACACATAATGTACTCAGCCTTCTCTCAAATACCAATGCAATTGTCAGTTAAAATTTATCAGCCATGTCTTAGACTGAAGAGTTATTGGCCGAGCCTTTCCAGAGTCCTCCAGCTCTGACTGTTCGGCTCATTTCCTCCAATCACCTGCCACCTCCCCTACTTTGTCTTTTTGCTATTTCTTTATCCCCTCTGTTTATTGCTTCCTAACATCCCCAAAGTCTGAAGGAAGGTGTTCTCCATGTATTTGGACTTCCTCACATACTTCTTCCATGGACCCAATTATCACACAAAATTGTAGTGTCCTAGCCAGGACTGGCTAAGTAATTTGTGGGGCCCCATGAAAAATTAAAATGGGGGGCTCTTTATTAAAAAATTATGAAGAATTTCAAAAGGGCAATAGCAGAGCATTCAACCAGGCATGAACTCTTCTGAGAGCGGGTCCCTGTGTGACTGCATGGGTTGTACATCCGTGAAGTGAGCCCTGCCTTGCCTTCTGGGAACAAACTCTCATTCCTTTCCTGCCCTGTTACCTGCAAGACAGACACCTTTAGTTCCACTTTCCATCACCTGAGAATGGACACTGAGTTAACCATCTGCCAGATGGGCAGGCATTCCCAGCATCTCCACCACGACTGCATCCATCTCTTTCTTCCCATTTCTGTTACTACCACTCTGTACCAACCCTTACAATCTAATCCTTCAACAGTCTTTGCTTTGGTTTGTTTCCAGTAGCTCATGTTGCAAGTCATCCTAGACACAGAATATAATTTCTAAAATATATTTGTAACATTGTGCATCTTGGTCACACTAGCAATACACTTTTCTAGGAAAACAGGATTGGGTCCATGGAATAGCAAATGTGTAAGAGCCCATGTAAATATCCATGGAACATACATTTTGGTGGTTGGTGAAGTGGTATTTGTGTTATATTTTCAGAAGCAGAGATTATGATGATTTGGTGGATATGCTAAAAAGAAGTATTTGCAATCAGCAAAAGCACAATGCATCCAGAGACTCATCAGTATAATTCACATCAATTCTCTAGGCATAAAAACTAATCATTTACTTAATCCCCCCAAACTCATATCTAGGCTTGCACACATATACCTGATTAATACTGTTGAACATACTGAGGCCCTTTACTGTAAATAGTCATGAAATTACTTTTCCAAGGCTAGCAGACACTCTCCTGATTTTACCTTCTCTTATACACGGTATCTAATAACAAAAGGGAGATTTATATTTGGTGGGAGGAAAGGGGGCAAGAAATGGATATAATTTCTCCTTTTTTTTTCCATGATCCATAATGAACTAAACCTTTTCTAATTTAAAAAAAAAAAAAATCCCTCTTGGGAGAAAATTTACACACAAGAAATTCTATTGTCAAAGCATGTTTTTTTCTTATATTATCACACAAAAAAACTGGAAATAGTTTGATTTATTCTTACTACTTTATTTTATATGCTCAAACTAAAATCTAAATCTTATTTTGTTAAAATTGGGAGCAGAAATTGAACACCATGGATAAAATATAAGGGTTTTGCCTAAAAATCGCATACATGAAAATCTTTTTTATGTCTGACTTTTAAAAAGCCTTTCTAAATTAATGTGTAATTCTGAAAAACTTCCTTAAGAAACTGTGGTTCTAAGACTAATAATATATTTAATCTGGCATATTAAACAAAAATACTTGCTGTATAAATATGCACAGAGCTGAAACGGCAAACAGGACTCATCATTCATATAGTCAACAGCAATTCTGTTGTTAATTACCCAATGGGAAGGTATGTATGTCAGCCTTCATAAACAGACATTCCATCCAGACAATTCTGTTTTTCCTTCAAATGCTATTAAAATACATCTCAATATTCTCTTTTGCAGGTTGGCTTAACTTTTCTTTTCCAATCAATTTATGATGGTTGCTTCTCCACCGTTCTTGTATTCAACAACTCCTCAAAAGGATCCAGCATTTAAAATTAAGCTCTGTATCCACAGCAAATAGTAATGCACATTCCCTAATTGCAAAAATCATGGTAGGATTTCCCAAGTGAAAGTTATTTTGAATCTGGAATTGAAAACAAGGATGGTGGGAAAATAGAAAACAGGTACTTACTACTAATCGCTGAACAATTTCCCGTATGTCTTCAGCACAGTTGTCTACTGAGGACAGGAGGATACATTCTCCTCTTTCGTAAAACACTTTGATACTCATTAATCCAGATGTCCACCCAATAACATCCCTGCAGGAACAGTTGAATACAACATTCTTGGAATCCTTTTCAATCAACATGATGAACTCATTGGAAATCCCAAGAAGACATTCGATGTCAGCAGACTGGCCGAAGTCCCGTGCTATCACATGCCACATGATGGCTCCAATGCTAAACAAGTGGGCATCCTTCCTTGGCTTGACTTTCTCCTTTTTCTTTGCACCCAGCGTAATGAAGCTGAACTTCACAGAAGTATCCACAGTGGCAGTTGTGACAAAGTTCTCCGCCAGATCTTTCAAGTACTCTTGCCTTGTTCGAGTGGCCATCGCACGAAACTTTTCCGATTTATGGGCTGCATTTTCTGCGTTGATTACTTTGGCTAAAAGGAAGTCCCGGAAGACAGCTGACTTTGGAAAAGTTACACCTTTGGGAATCGGTGGGCCAAATGGTGGCACATCTTTTGATCTGGAAACTCCAACACTGAGGAAAGAAAAAACAGAAACAAAATGAGATGAGCTATGATACCATAATATTTACGTTTTCAAATTTGGCATACATACACACTTGGAACTTAACTGGTCTATTCCGCAGGTTCTTGTTCTCCTAGTTTCTGGAACCCAGGGTTTGTTGCTGTTATTTAAGCAAAATGTTTTAAACTTAGTAGACAGGAGGTGTAATGGGCTGAATTCTGTCCCTCTCAAAATCCACATGTTGAAAAGATAACCCATAGTTCCTGGGAATGTGACACTATCTGGAGATAGGACCCTTAAGGAGGTGACTGAGTTAAAGTGAAGCCATTAGGGTGGGTCCTGATCCAACTGACGGGTATCCTTATAAGAGGAGAAAATTTGGGCTTACAAAGAGACACCAGGGATATATGCACACGGAAAGAAGCCATGTGAAGACATAAGGAGAAGATGGCCATCTGTGGAAGTAAAGGGGAGAGGCCTCAGGAGAAACAAACCCTTGCTGACACCTTGATCTTAGACTTGCAGCCTCCAGAACTATGAGAAAATAAACGTCTACCATGTAAGCCACGTAGCCTGTGGTATTAGTATGGCAGTGTTACCAAACTAATACAGGGGTAAGAGATCCACAGCGTGTGGAATAAGCGGGTTGGCACTCTGTAACCCTGTGGGGCTGGTTATCACTGAGAAAAACAGTAATACCTCCGACCAAAGTGGGTTTAGCCCAAGTTAGCTGCATGGGGTTCAGTGACATGAGACAGAGTGATCATACTTACAAGGGCCCAAAATTTAAGTATCACTTTTTTTTAAAGGAAATGCTCACTTTACTTGATCACATTTTGAATATCTAAATGAAGGTTTTATGGGGGTAATATTTTAAGAGATCTCAGGGTTTGAAGAGGTCAAATGTATAGTGTTAATATAGTGTTAAAAACCATCTTAATCTATTAAAACCAATACTGCTCCCCTACATCAGAGAGTCACTTTAGTTATCTCACACCTTCTTCTGAGTAAGATAAATTACAGATTGGATTCATGAATTAACAAAGGAAGGATTAAGGCGAGTAGGTGAATGGATGGATCCTCTATCACAGGCAGCACAGGGAACACCCCAATTACTTAGTAGCTACCACAGACCAAGGATCTGTACTAATTCCATATCTGCCCAGGCTAATACTTTCTATGTTGGGGTAAAGAAGGGAAGCAATCTTTGTTTTGTTTTCAACATTATGGAAAATTCTAAAAAAGGTACATTAAGGAATAAAAACATTTTATCCAAATTTGTTCTGTCAGATGCAAACCCCTCTTGTGAAATGTGGTTGGTTAGGCTTTAGAAAAATCATAAGTTCCAGTGTCTCTCACTTATGCTTTAATCTGCACCCTCTTCAGCAGAGTTAATCACCTCTAGCAGCAAGACAGACAGCTGGCTAGATGGGGACTTCACCGAGATGAAAGGGAAAGGAATGACTGCTTTGCTTTGGGACAGATAAACCAAACTCATGAATAGCACCTGGTGGTGCTTTATGCTAGTGTATATACTACACAAGATGGTATGTGTGAGGGGGAACTTGACTTATGTCCTTAATATGAAGGGAAGGTCCTTAAAAACATCACAGAGGTTGATGCTGCCAGGGATCAGGTGTGGCCCATTTTCCCCTCACCACCATCCTCAGGATGCCATTCACGACTGGGAATTAATTAATCCTCCATGATAACTCTGGGAGAGTGATCCGAAAGCTGCCCTTTTGGACTTGTGATTAGTCTAATCATACCCTGTGGCTTCTCTTTTCTTCACTGTCAATGAGCTCAAAGGGCCTCTCTGTTCACTGCAACCTGCCCTGCAAATACTGGGTATATGCCAATATATCACTGCTCCTAAATTTGGTTCTCTCTTCCAACAATGAGTACAGATTTCTAGCAATATTTGACCCACGGAATGCTGAGGTGGCCAAATGTCATCTGGCACTCTAGTGTATTCCTTCTTTACATTAACTCTTCAGATCTCATGCTAACCTCTGACTGCACCTTGCATGCACTTAAGTTACAATATCAGGGGAAGTTTTTTATATCTAAATATGCTCCACTGTGGTGTCACATAGTGAATAAGAGAGACACAGTGACTCCATTATATATTAGGGAAACTCTTTTTGTATCAAATTATAGACCCTAACATCTAATTGGAGATTCTCTCTACAATGTATGCCATATTCTTGTTTAATAAACTGTATTCTTGTACATCTCAAAGTGTATAAGAAAAGCAGTAGAATGTAAGCATGACTATTCCATGATTGTTATGACATTGTGGGTATGGGAATCAATTAGAGATCATTGGTTACAAAAGCTCACATGATTTCTAACATTTCAAGTAGAGTCAAGTTCAGAAGAAATATTCTTTTGCAAGATTCTGATAATTCCCAATGTGTAGAAACAAGAACTTATATCAGAGCTCCTTATTTTACCCAAATGATTCGACAGCATTTATTAATGATTTAGATATTTAAGGCCCCTCCAGCAAAAGCAAACATAGAAAGATAAGCATTCCTTAATATGCACATGAAAGGGTTTTAATAAGGCTTCTGGTGTTGGAGCAAACTGGAGTCAGGTAATGGGAATTCAGCTCTACCACCTCCTGGGTGACTGAGCTAAATACGGAATCCTTCAGTGCCTCACTGGCCTCATCTGTAAAGTGGAAGGTAAAATAGTATCATACCCAAAAGCCCACTGTCAGGATGACAGAAAATAATGCATGTAAAGCTTCTATTATCCAAATTGTTGCTGTTATCACTATTACTCTCACAGACATAGCTCTGTCACCTAATTTTTGTCAGATGTTACATATTAAATTTTCTAAGAAATGACAGTCATCATTTTCTGTAGATATCTCTCCACTTTTAATTCTCTGTGAGCTACCAAGCCTATTCTCATTCTGTTACTGAGCATTTTGCAAAGAGTTTATCTTGGACAATACATAAAAACATAAATCCCTCAGTTAAACGTTGGCTACAAATTAACAAGTCTTTTTATAAAGCAATGGGCAATTTGTTATGTCTGCTTTTTAAAAATTTTCAGGCTAAAAACGAGATGTTTCATGAGGCTTTGGGGGCGTTGTCTCATTTCTCCTAGTTCCAGTGGACTCAGCAGGACTGCTCCAGCCTTCTGCTGTGTTCATGGGGGAGGCCTGACTCCCTCTTTAGGGTGGGAGTGTGGTCTTCTGCTCAGGCAGGTACACCTGACAGGCTGCACAAATTTCATTAGAGGAGGTGATCTCAACCCCACAGCCCTTTTTGACAGCTGTAAGGCCCATGAATTGGCATTGGTGCTGTGGGTCCCTGTCAGCAAGAATATCCTGCCACTCAACACCCGCACAAAGCTCAGGAGAAAAACAGCTTTCATGGGAGCTTGCCAGGGTGTGTGGGAACCATCCAGTCGTCTTTAAAATACATCTCTGGGTTAGGACATAGCAAAATTTAAGAAAACTATAGAGCTGGACTGTATCATTTCCCTGGAAATTATTTTAATAAATTTATTTCTCCATTGGAATATTTAGAAGAGTATCACATGAAACAGACCACTAAGGTGTTTTTAGAAAATGTGGGCATGCCAACCATATTCTGTGTGATAGGAGTAAGGCTAGCTTCATGAAATGTTATGGAATTCATCTGACTACAGGATTACTGAAGGTTATTACTGCTTCTTTAAGAAACACTACTGATACTTTTAAGCAAGATCAATGACGCTGATGAGGCACTTCCAAAAATGTTACGCACTGGAACTGATGTTACATTTGAATCTCATTAGTCAAAGTTAATTTAGTAATAACAATGTGGTTTCTCAAAAACCAGTGAGTCCATCTCTGAATGATCTGCATATGCTATCCTTATCATAGAAAAAATAATGCAATGCACTTGTTTATATGTAAGAGATCTCTGTACTGGTTTCAAAAACATATAGTCTCAGTAATTTAATTAAAACCAGAAAACCTAAAAGAAATACAGTGACTAGATACTGCCTATTTTACAATTTTTTTGTGTTAATGAACTACCTCATGATATAAGCATAAAGATAGAAAGTAATTTAAAATATTTGATTTGACCTAAAAATAGCCACCCATAAAATAATGCCAAATATAATACAATAAAGCCTTATGCTTAAGTTTTCCCAATCCATTAGGAAGGTTCATTTTATTCTTCAGAATTACCATTCACTGGGTGGGCTCCCAGGAAGAAAGGCCAACTCACCACGTTTGTACCAAAATGTATCATTTGTACAGAGTAAATACTATATTCTTTCAAATATCACTGTTAAAAAGTAGTTCTGAGCATTCAGGCCAGTGGTCCTAAACCCAGATGTGTGTAAGAATGACTCTGGAGGAAAATATAGAGATGCCAGGTGTACTGCATTAGAACACAGCACAGTAGAGCCATAGACTCGGGCTATTTTTAACAAGGCGACTAGGCAGCAAAATTCAGAGTAAGAACTGCTGGTTTTCAGACTGTTCTAAAATCGCTTGGGTATCTGTAGGGTAGGATGTAAACTAGCAACTTTTTACATACAGACTAATTTCTCTTTTGCCTTTAGGGGGCAATCGCTGTAGTCTTCACTCTCTTACAAGGAATATTCATGTCTCTGAACTAAGCCCAGTGGGCAGCTGAATTGGCAACTACTGTTTTAAGACGATAAATGAAAACAACCTTGGATGAATGCCAGGAACTGTATTAGGTGTTTTACATAATGTGAGCTATTTATTAGTCATAACCACATATTGAAGTAGGTACTATCATTATCATTATCTTCAATTTTAAGATGAGGAATCAAATGCTAAGAAAAATAAAGTAACCCACACAAAGTCCTATGACAAGTGGTAAAGCTGGTTTCAAACTCAGGTCAAAGGCCCATTGTTTTACCAATACCCTGCGTCACACCATTCGGCTGCAGTTATTTCCTAAGACAGGGTCTGGGAGTAGCGGTTAAGCATAAAAGCAGGCCTTGTCAGAGCCAGTCTGGGGATTCCAAGACACACACATGGCCTTTTGAAGTCACCCAACAAGTGTCAACTCCTTGTTTTGGCAGCCCAGCAAATAGTGTTTCCAAGGTCTTTGATGAAAAGAAATGTTTTACTGCCACAATACTTACTCCTCCTAGATAAGCACTTAAACAGCCACTTCACCAACTCAGAGGCAGGTACCAATTAAGCTATTGGTTCTGGCAGAAGCTGAAGTTTTTAAAAGAAAAACAGAGGAAATGTGTAATCCACCATTTTAAAGTGCTAGGGATTTCACTTTTTCAAGAGGGCAAAATGGAAAGAAGGCAATCATTTCTTACAGAAACTGTTTGAGTAATCAGAATATCACAAAGTTGAATATAATAATTGGAAAACAAAGATATTTTTGGGAAAAGATGCACTATTGACATAAACCTGGGACAGTGATAGATCAGAGATTACTGACTCACCTATAACACACATTTTCGGTACATGGATTATGCACTTTGACTATGACAAAGACATGCTGAAAGTGAGACCGGATGCTTTTTGGAGTAAAAGGAAGTGCCCCAGGCTCCTGGAAGACGATGGTGACGATGTCATTTCCTATGTGCCTTTTCCTCAGTAGCTGTGGTCAAGAGAGTGAAGAGTCACAAATAAATTTTTCTTTAAAACAAAATATATAAATATATACAATTTCCTAATCTTTTTTTTGGTTTGTTTTTAAAGGTTTTTATTTTATGTACAAAGAACTATCATGGTTTTTCATGGTAGATGTCTTTGATAATCCTTTGAAGGAAGATCATTTAGTCCAACTTAATGAAACCGATATCCTTCGCATACTGATGGAAACACCGGCAGCACATATTGAGGCCATATTTCTGGATCGGACCGCGCCAGTTTGAACAGATTCAACAAGAGTGAGAACCCTGGAATTTTCACGGGTGGCTCCAGTATAGCTGCTGGTGACCCATCTTGCTCTCAGGAGTGCAACGAGGTAAAAAGCAATTCACTCATCTTTCAATTTGAAGGAATTATTTTAAAAAAGCACAGTCATTCTTTGGAAGTTAGTGCTCCTAAATTTGGCGTAGAAAAAGCAAAATGAGTTTCATCCAAAAGACCCATGAGAAAAAAAGCCTAAATATTTAAGTTTATCTCTTTTATTTTAAAATTCAATTTGTACTCTCTCTCCTTTTTGTCTTTATCCAGTTCCTCTTTCTAAACCCCTAAAATTATAGCACATTAGAGCTCACAATGCTTTAAGAAATTTTGTAGTTTAAGCACTAGGAAGAAAAGTACAAGACTGGGTACAGGTTTGCTGAAAGGTCCTACACTATCACCCTGGCATGCCTCAGCTTGCATCCTGTGATCCCACAGTAACGTGCATTTCTGCAACAAAAATACAGAACACTGTCATTTTGGTGGGCAGTAATACAAACCAGTTAACTGAACCCTGGCTGTTTAAAATGTAATTCAGAAACACAGAATTCCATCGGATTACTCACCAGAAACCCAATCGTTTGTAATTTTATAAATCACAAATCTGGCAGGGGGAATGAAGCCCAGAGCAGTAACACTTTAACAATACCTTTACTTTTGATGTTCCTTCTGCCAGGAATGCCCCCTGCATTCCAGGTTTCTCCCAGAAAATGCAGTTGTCTCTGTAGGTCTCACCTCATCTGAAAGAAACTTCCTATTTCCCAGGCCTATTTCTATTACACTGGTTGTTGTACTGTCTTCTAATGGTTGGTTTACTTCTGCATCAGGTCATAACCTTCATGAGGGTGGAGAGTGCCATACTGACTTTCAGCTTCCTGGTTTCTAATGGTGTGCCAAGCAAAGAAGGTACCCAATACACATTTGTTTAACAAATAAACAAATGATCCAAATATACATTTATTGACACATCACATTATGGGTTAAAATTGTGATTAAAATTCTTTCCTATGAACACATGCCAATAAATCCACATAATAGACACTCTGTAAGCTTATGCAAGTGAAGGCATAGATCTGTGCTCTCAAAGTTTGTGATCTTTGGTTTTGATACATAAAACAATCCTTACACAACTTGGTGATGTCACTGCTGGAATGTGACAATCTCAGATAGTAAATCTCTTTGTACTTGTAATATGAAAGACCACAACCTTACTCTTAAATTTATTTGGCACCTACGGTGCATATTCCACTGTAAAGAGCATTAAGTTCAACTTTTAAAACCTTTTAAACCCAGATACAAAAAGGATTTCATTGTTAGGTCCCTGACTTGTGATTTAGCATGATAAAAGGCCTGGAAAAGTGGGAATGAAATGTTCATTCTTTCAGTGTTCTCTACAGGCCAGTTAAATTGTGGAGTCGTATGCTAAAAAATTCCTAGGTAAATCCCCATGGTCAAAGTTATAAACACACAAAAATCATCTTACTGTCTGAGTGAAGTTTTGAAACATACATGAGTACATCATAACACAGACCCAATGAGCCACCTCATTTAAATAAGAAGTTTTTAAAAAGTTTGCTAGATATTTAAAATGCGGCATTTCAAATGCACGTAAATAATCAGTGAAAACTTTGGCAATAACATTCTTTGCTCTTTTCTCCCAAAACTGATATATATGGTTCTTACGTACCGTAAAAAGACACGGAAAAATCAGGATCAGTTTTTAAATGCCCATTTTTGTGTTCAATGTATTTGTAGAATACAAAACACAGCAGTTCACACTGTACTTTATTAAATACGCTTAACACAGGAAATCTCAGATTGACAAAAGATGGAGCTCACTTTGGTCAAGGCCAAACGGTGAGTTCAGTGCCTTCTACTTCCTGAGTGGTTGCCGATGTGGCTTCATGTTGGCCAGCCCTCTCAATTAAACACAGGGGGCAGGGAGGGCCTCATTAGTCAGTGCTTCATGGTTGCACAGACTGCAACAGCAAATTGGACAGTTATTCCTAGCCAATTTCTTTTCCTCCTGAAGAAAGATGTTGGGTCTGATTCTATATATAACATACAGGAATATTTAAAGCACAAATTAAAGGAAACTTTAAGGCTGGTTACCTTGACAACATGCCAAACCACTGTTGTCCCTTTCTAGGCATATTCTTTTGCTTTGTAATATGGGCCAAAAAATGTTTTCAAAAATCTAGTTAATTTAACCATGGTCACATAATGCACATTGTAGGGAAAAAATAACCATTGTGGGTGGAAAGAAGAAGATTCACTAAGAAAGGTAAAATCTAAAGCTCTTTGAAGGAGAATAAAATAAAAAAAACGAACACTATCCATTAACAGGATGCTTGAATTTGGTTCAGAGACTGAATAAAATCTCTGAACAATTAACAGAAATATTATTCATGTTTTTGTTATAAGATTTTGCCAAACATGAAATAAGTAACTTCTTGAACTTCTTAAAGGCAATGTTTTATTATTTAGTTTATGCTTTTTTTCTAACTGGTCAATGAAATTCTATAGAGTCTGTAAATGGAGAAGAAAAGGGATGGCAAACCACAAATAAATGCAGCCTGGCAAAACCTGACGGTACTATTTGAGGGAATTGTAGAAATGACATCTTCTGGGGCTAACTTCTTTCTAGGTATGTAAAGCTAATGACAGTTTTCAGTGATGTCAACAGGACCAACTTATTAGTGTTTTCAACTGCAACAGTGAGTTAATAAATACTGTATTAGATAGATTTTCATAGTCATTTCTACTAAATTTCGAACACTTGATTCCAGCTGTGAAACAGGAATAAGCTCTTGCTGGACAAGGAAAGTGAAAATGCGAGTCTTCACCCAATTCATGGCAGAAGCATAAAGATGCTACAGAAATAGCGTATACAGCCGTAGGTTTAGTCTCAGTGCCTTAAACAAACCATGATTTCGCAAGACCAGCTTTAACTTAGTGCAAAAATATAGTTAGACAGGAGTAAGTTCCCATATTCAACAGAACAGTATGGAAACTGTAATTAACAGTAATTTATTGTATTTTCAAAATAGCTGCAAAAAAATTTGAAATGTTCTCAACACAAAGATAAGTGTTTGTGGTAACAGATAACCTGATGTAACCATTACACATTGTATATGCAGGTATCAAAATATAGCATGTACCCCCAAAATATGTACAACTATTATATATCAGTAAAAAGAAACTTAATGAGAGGCAAAAAATCAAAAAACAAACTGAGAAGAAAAAACCTAGGAAGTGAAAATGAGTATCTGACAGTACCCTTGGATGACAAATGAGATAAAGCTGAATTAGATAATATCTGCTAGCTTCCATGTATATGGGTTCATTTGTTAAATTATTATTTTTTTAACCCAGTAAAATGAAACAAAGTGTTCTGCACCTAATGCTGGGGGAAAGCAGGCTGCACATGAAAGAGAATAGCCAGGGTATGATTCAGAAGCTGGTAAGGGTCAGAGAAGAGGAAGCTCATCTGAAGCTGGAGAAGGCAGGTCTCCAGAGAAGGTCTTCAGAAAGAAGCAAATCCATATTCTGTAAGAAAGCAATCACAGGCTCTCAAGCCTCATCCTGTTACTAAGAAGGGGGCTGAGAAAGACTCCTCTGACGTGATTGATCCCTTCCTAACTCTCCGACCTCATCACCTGCTCCTTACCATCTAGACAGCGCCTTGGCCCTCCTACAGGACAGCTTGTTCCTACCCAAGAAACTCTGCTGTTCCCAATCCCTGGAAAGCTCTTTGCCTTCACCCGGAAGGCTGGCTTTTCCTCCTTTAGGGAGATGGCCCTAATTTTGCACTCATACATACAGATGCATGTACATAAACACACATATCCCCTCATATACTCTATACTTGACAGTTTGCACCAGTGGTTAGAATTTTGCCTTGATTTTTAAGAGGCGTCTAGAGTTGCCCATGAAAAAAGTTAATGTAGAAAAGCATTATAAATAGTAACTGAGAACGGGCAACTTATACACCTTACCATAAAAATACAAAAGAAAGAAAGGTCTTGCCCATCTCCTGCAAAAAAGTGAATGCTAGTGAACTGTTCTTATTTCAGATGGACAAGAAAAAGATATTACATTTAATTATGTTTCAAGGATTTGCCACTGATTTACCATTTCATATAATCATGATATTTTACCAATAATGAGTAAATGTGCAAATGAGTTAAGAAATGCTGAACACTTTGCAAATGAAGAAACAAAATAATCTAAGAATGCAGATTTTTAGTGACTTCGTAGCAAAGTAAAGATGGTAACAGGATTATGAAGTTATAAATATCTCAGATTTCTGACACTGGGCAATACCAATCCTTACTCTAAGCAGCAGTCTCTGTGATATGGTATAAGTATATGCTCTTACTTAGGGTCTGGGAATACAGCTACTCACAGAAAGCTAAATAAGCATTTTATCCTTCCAAAATATTCTATAGTGTTATGCCTAGGTGAACCCAGGAATAGTCAGGACCCAAGTGCTCACAGCACTTAGTGAGGCAGGTGCTTCCAGTATTTACATGAGTCCTTAGCAACACCAACTAGGGATTTAGGGAAGTATACAAACTCTTTAAGTCAGGAGCTTACAATCAGTCCACCTACTATAAAGAAAAGGGGTGCAGGATTAGCCCAAATATAACATCATTACCTCTCTGGTGTCAAGCCCATTGCTAGAATAAGATCAGTATCCTTTAATTAGCATTTCAGAAACCTAGGGACACGGTTGTACTTAATGATACCTCCATGAGGCATCAGGTACCCCTTCCCAAAAGAGCAGCTAAAATGTTACGCATACATTAAAAAAGAAATAGGTTACTGTATGCCAGGCACTGAGGCAGCTCTACTTTATATGCCTACTTTGAAGGAAGAATTTCTCTGCCAAAGTGAAGTTTAAAGCTAATTTATGAAGTTCTTCCCACTGATGACATCCCATGATGGCTTAACCGTGAGTTGCAGAAGGAAACAGGGCAAGCAGAAGGAAAGTACTCAGGAAAAAACAGCCCTGGGAAAAGCGGACGGACCGCCAGACAGATGCAGAGAGACTTGCAGGACTTAACCTCTGAAGAGAAAATACTCCAAGAGTACGGTTTGGTTTCTTATCGTTCTCTTGGTCTGGTGAGTTTTTTGATGACATTCCAAAGATTAAAGCTCTTTTGCAACTGTGGTAAACTTTCTGAAGACTTTTAATATATCTTGGAATCAGCATCCAGCTTGATTTATTACAAGAAAGAACACAAGAAATTAAATCTGATGTGGACGAGTCTGGACCAGTTAAACGGTCACAAACTGTGGTGTAAGAAGCCAAGGTTACAGGCACAATTCATGTAGAGGCCAGTTAACTTTGCTAAGTCCTGTGGCTTCAAATTGCACTCATGAACCCAGCTGGTTATTTCAGACATTTCTGCTCTTGGTATTAACAAAATTTGTGGACATGGGTGGCGAGGGTGAGAGAAGTGGAGTCAATATAACTCATAACAAATTTAGAAAATCCATGTTCCAAGGTTGCAAGTAACATTATTTATCCACAAACAGAACATTCTGGTGACAGCTTGTGATTAGCAAAATATTTTATTAAATGTCAAAGTAAGAATAATTTTCTGAACAAATTAATAAATTTAGTCTCTCACTTTCTTAACCATTCAGAGTCTTAGCTTCTCATAATAGATCTTTAGGACTGAAGACAGGAAAATAAAATGCAAATTAAGTCATCCAAAATACTAGTGACTCATTATCTAGTTAATTATAAAATAATAAAAACTAAAAGTTAGTTCCATGCTTGGAACTATTTTAAGTGCTTTACATGTATTAATTTGCCCAATTCTCTACCACCTAAGAAAGGTTCACTCATTCATTTATTATTCATTCAGCAAACGTTTGTTGACTTCTTACCTTATTAGCTAAGGTTCTAAGGTTCTGGATACTGTTGTAGGCACACAGGGACCTCTCAGTGAACAAAACAGATACAAATCCCTGCTTGCAGGAGTTTGTAACGTATAGCCTCAATTTACAGGGACTTTTCTTTTACTTTCCAGTTGGGGAAGTTTAACATACAGACAAATCTTCTATCCCCCAGCTGCCATCTACATTTTCACTTCTTTGCAGCCCTGATTTTGTGCACAGAATTTTTTCAAGGTTAGTTTCAATGAAATAAAGTCAGGTATACAAAACTCTAACGCCTACAGATTTTCATTACCCTCCAATGAAAGGGGGTGGGAAAGCCGGTCTTAAGGTCTGGTAACAGTAAAGACTTCAAACCTCTAGAGGTTGGCGCTTGTGAAATGTCAAGGCCAATTCAGCCTGAAGTCCAACGACTCGAGTAATTAGGGAACTGGAAGGGCTTTGTGGTTTGAATACTCGATGACGGGGGTCAAAAGTCACTGGCTCTATTTCTGCTAAAGTCCTGACAGATTTTCTTGGCGTGAGTGAGCCCTATCAGTTTTCTGAGTAACAACTCCCACAGAGTTTAATTACTGAATGATTCACAAGTATTTGCTGGACAACTGTCCTGGTCTAAATTAAGCCTCTTAAGATCCAGTGAATCTGTTTGGCATTATTGCAAATAAATTTTTGAGAACTAAAATCCCTTAGGTTAAAATACACATAAATACATACATGTGATCAAGTGATTTTAAGTCTATCTTAAAAAATATAGAGATGTGTAATCTAGAGATAAATTTTTTGAAGGTAGTAGGAAGAACTATGATTATCAGAAAACACTAGAAAATTCAAAAAGGACAAGGGACTGAGATAAGCATGAGATGGAAAATGGCAAGAAAACCCAGCTAGCAATTACCATGAGAAGAAACTGGGGGTCAGGGACCCGCTTTATCTTTCTAGCTGGAGGATCTGAGGCTAAGGTGCTTCTTCCAGCTAGTGATGGGAGAAGGGGAGGTACGTGACTGGTTTCTTCTTTGGGAAAAAAATGCAGAATTAGACTAAATTTATATACTTTTGTGAGTATTTTTTAAATAGGAAAAATTCACTGAGACAATTCAGTTTCATTCAATTGACAAATACCTACTGAGCAATTCCTATGTAGTCCTTGGTGCTTTAACATATTTGGAGCAAAGGAGTATCAGTTAAGTGACATCCAGAAAACTATCTTCTAAGTGTGAAAACAAACTTTACCTCCAGATTTAGCCTAAATACAATCAAATCTCTAAAATTAAATTACGTCAATGAATTAACTGTAAGATCCCAGTAATGCACAAACCTTTCTGTAAACAACTCTTCAGAAACTCAGTCAATATTCTTTAAAAAGTCTTCAGCTTAACATGGGCAGAGCCCACGAGATTTTAAACAAGATGTGAAATGGAGCCTTATTTATCCCATAGATTCTCTCTATCCTAAATATAGGTCCTTTTCTATCCCAAATAATCCTCCAGCTCCTCCCAAGCTCAGAGTAGACAAAGCATTTCAAATATTTCTGGCACAAAATTAAAAATGGCCATAATTTCTAGTAATCTTGGCAAAAACCTTACTCTACCCATTTTACTGTTATACTAAAAACTAAATTATTTTACAATCATTTATGCATCATTCAAGTTTTCAAAGGTTCTTAATTCTTACTGAGTGGCTGTATTCAAAGCATGATGCACTCTGATTTTTTCCCCTTTAAAAGGGTCAATAAAGTTTGCCCAGTAAGTCCAATTAAAACAACAAAAATGGAATGGAGAGGAACAGCTGAAAACAGCACCAGTAACAACTGCAAATAGTATTCTCTATAAATAAGCTATTCACCCACATGCAAAAACCGAAGTCCAGTCAACACAGTTGGCCTTTTCGTAATTAACATAGTTGAGACAAATTTCTCTTAAGAAAAGGTTTTGTCTAGCAAGCAATAAATCTGAGTGCGGAAGAGTTTCTAAGTTTTATAAGAAAAAAGTGCAATAATATTCCCTTTAAAGCCCAAATACTTCCAAATGATCAAAGAGTCAAAGATGATTAATGCTATTCAAACCCCCACTGATTCTTTGCAAGTTCTCAATGCATCAATATCATCAGTGGGCTCACCTCAGATTTCATACTCAGGGTAAAAAGCTCCAGGCTGGGGAAGACATACCTGCTGTCTGTTGTTGGGCATGTAGGGAAGCAGGGTCGACACATGGAACATGAGTTCGTAGTCTTTGTATGTGGTATAGAGAGAGTGCGTGCCCGTGGAATCAGCTGAAAACAAAGATGAATTAAAGCAGCAAAGTAAGCCACTACAAAATTAGTGCTTTAATATTTAAAAGGTTATTGGTGCAAAAAAAACCCACAAAAAACACCAAGCTATACCCAACCAGAATCTGGACACTGCCCACCCAGCTCTCACCAAGCACCGTTTCTACCACCTCCCGCTCCAGGGCTGTGGACTGAGGGGCTCCTTTTCTTCCCCACCGCTTTCTACTGCACCTTCAGTTTCCTCTCTTCTCTGTTCTTACCCTCACAGTATGGATTCAGGTGACCCACTGAATCCATACTTCACTGAAAGTGAAGTGCTTTTGCCACCAAGTATACAGGTGAGCAGTAGAGGAGAGACGCTGGTGCAGGTCTGGGTGCAATTATCTGAAGGCCGTGACAAATTGGTGGATAGTCTGGCCGCATGTGCACACGCGCGTGTGTGTTTATAGTTAATTCTCAGTTAATCTTGGGCACTTGATCTTCCAGAATCCAGAAAGATGAAACAAGGGTGTGTGTGTGTGTGTGTGTGTGTGTGTGTGTGTGTGTGTGTATTTGTTTACAGTTAACTCTTAGTCATTCTTGGGCACTTGATCTTCCAGAGCCCAGAAAAATAAACAAGGCTGATTGAATATGGAAATGAAAACAAAAAATGTTATTCTGAAGATATCCTTCCCTGAATGATGTAATTAATTTTTTTCTCCTTTCAAGAAGTATAGTGATATATTACATGACTTAAGAATATGGAGAATGAATGTGATCACTTATAGTATATTATGCAGTGATAAATGTTCAAAAAACTATGACATTTCAACCCCTATTAATCATAAAACTATTCATCGTTGGGAAGGCAGAATGATTCTTTATAAATTCAAACTCCATCTGTATTATAAATAGGAGTATCTCAGAGTTTCACATATTAAAACTAACCTGGTGACGAAAATATTTAAGTACTTTTGGAGTAAACTTCAGAATGACTTTTTACGTATGGATAATGAAAACAAAAAGATATACAGAAAGGAAAATGTAAACGGAATTCAATTTCTTTGTCAATTCTGGATCTACATATAGGCTTACTTTTCTACTTTTTAAACAGTAAGAAACAGTGTTGTTAACATCATTTATTCCACTGTGTTTGTTGGAGAAACCTCTAAGTAGTCATCATAAGTTAATCTTTATCTAAAAATTAAAATTTTTACTTTAAAAGCACGAAAACATTCAACCTTCGTGAACTTATTATTTTTTTTCTGAATCCTGTAGTATGTCTTTCTTTCCAATACTTATATCCAATTCAGAAATAGACCTGAAAACTGTCTAGAAAAAAATATCCTTTAGAGTTCTTAGATGCTCTGAAAAGACATTTATAAAAGGCATTTTCTTGAATAAGGTGAATACTTAGTGTTTACATATAGTCACCAACAAATTAATTTAGAGATGGACAGAGAATATTTATCTAAAAAGTTATATATGTCGGTCCCAAAATAAAAATAAAAAAACTTCCTTTTAATTATTCACTAAATACACAGTTGTTATTTTCAAAGGACTTCTTAGAAAATAACATTCCATTTTAATTCTCTTGGCTCGGAACCTTGACAGTGAACGTAGCTTTCTCTGGATGTGAGAAAGCACCCTCCCAGGGCAGGATGGATGCTCCTTCAATGAACAATGGACTCACTGATGACAAAACCGAAGGACGGGTGATGAAAAGGCCTGGTATGTTCAATGACACCCAACACAACACTGCTAACAGGGTGGTTCAAATTCAGAAAGAGAAATGCTGACTGACATTCTGTTTCAGATTTAGGAAACTGCAAGGAAGGAAGGAAGACGCATCGGGCGGTGGGGGCAGGGGGAGCTATATTTTAAAATGTGACAATAATTTGTCTATCTCAAGCCATATAAAACAGGAATTTCTAAAGGTAATGGAGAATGTAAACTAACAAGGCTAGTTATTCTGGGGTATGCTATAAATATTTCTATTCAAAAAGGGATACGGACTATCAATTTTATCCTTCTCTGCACCTAGCTCAATAAAGGCTTTTCATGGCTGAAATTGTGTACTCTGCTCCAGTTAACAGAGCATCTTAGTGGTTCAAATCCCCTATGTTACTACTCCGTTTCATTTTGTGTTCAAGTGAGAAACAACTCATTTTAACGCTGAAAGGGACATCCCAGATATTCTAGCCCAACATCCTGAACCTTCCTCAGGATGAGGAATCTGAGGCGCAGATTCGACCTAAGTCTGATGGCAGACAGAGTTATAACTAGAACTCAATTCCCCCAAATTCTAGAAGGAAGGTTTTTATTTGTCTCTTCCTTGAGAGACATAATTTTTATCTGACCATTCTCTCATATCTAATTCTCACATATCTCCTCTCTACCAAAAGAATGTCAGACTTCTTCGCATCTCACAAAATGCCTAGCTCCTAAAAATAACATACAGATTTATTATCAAAGTCAACATATCAAAATCTAGTTATGTTCTCATCTCCTTGAGCTAAGGTGTGCAATACTACATCTGCAAAGTATCAAGGATATTGCCTATGTCATGAAAATGCAAAGCCAATGTCAATTCTATATGTAAGAAAACATTTGGGTTGTCTAGGTTGTTTGTAGTTTTACAGACAACACAGATCAGAAATTCTTAAAGTGTTTTCTCAATCCAATTCACCGAAGAGAGTGAATTATAACACACGTAGTAATAAGAGTTCACGTCAGCAGTGGTTTTCCTGGAAGGACATCCTTAAGGGAAGAATATCAGCATCTCTCGTGGGTAAATGGTTGTTTACAGGAAACAGGAGTTTGAAAAGAAATAAAGAAGGAAAATTGAAAAATGGCATGTTGGTCTTTCTTAAAATATATGGATATTTGTATTTTGGGTACCATGAATTATTTCTGAGACATGAGCATTATACATTTAACATAATAGTCAAACTCCATCCCTGGCGTGCGTAGAGGACACCCAGGGGGCCCATGTGTGAGTTTACACATTTGCAGGGCCTTGTGAACTATCTAGTAACTGCTACTTTCAAAAACATGTCAAAAAACAGAACTGACTACAGACGCCACCCTCATCCAGATGGAGTGTCAGTGATAGTCCCATGTTGAGTAGACTTGGGGACAGCGCTTGGTGACTAAGGAAGGAGAATAGAAGGCAGGAAGACACGGCATCAGGTCACCTCGGTTCCAATCCCAGCTCAGCCACACCTGACACTCCCAGACAGAAAACTTCCCCTTCACCCCTCCTACTCGGAGTTGGGACTAGATGCTTGTTCAGATCCTCCAAGTTTAAACTATCTGTTCCTCTCTTTTTATTAAAAGAGGAAATACAATTTTTGATAATAAGCAGAATTCTCCAATATATGTAAAATTACTCTGCCTGGTATTTTAGATACTCATAGCAACTAAATAACAGCACAGAGATAAAATATACAGAACTTACAGACATCGTGAGAAATAAGATTATGTGTAGATATCAGACAAATTCATGTATCCTAGGAGGGCATAAAGCCCATGTTTTGGATTGGCCAGTCAATCTGCCACTGTACGGCCAGTATGTGCTCCGCTCAAGGGGATCTAACTAAAATCCTTGAAAAATAAGATGCAGCAGTTTCGTTTTGTTTTTTAATTTTAGACCTGGGGGTACATGTGAAGATCTGCTATAAGGGTGCACCGTGTGAAGATGCATTAGCTTTTGAATCACTGCTCCAACTCCCTGGTTAACATCATGAATCTGGAAATGAACAAAATAAGCCCAATAACACAGCATGAATGGATGTGTTAATATTTTGTCTCTTAGAAATAAATGCAGTGCTTGTCCTTGGTATAATAGAAGAGGTTAAGGTAAAAGAAAGAAGAAAATATTAAAAAATTCTTCATGAAACACTGGGGAATCTCTCTGCTGATGTTACAAAGGAAAAAGAATTGACCCTTTGAGCTTATGCTGTGAAGCACATACCTCTTGAGAAATGTGTTTCCTTTGTTCATCTGAGGAAATCTAAACTCCATTCCAAATAAGCTTCCTAGGCTGCTTCTGGGGTCGGGGACAGGAGGGCATGTGATCACTTACTTCGATTTATACAGCACGCCTACCTTAGGAGAATTAAAACTGCACACACGCACAAACATTAAACTTACTCTTATTGTCTAGCTGAGCTCGATATTTACTAAATCCTTTCAGTCGGACTCTCTGGCCCAGCAGATCAAGGAATTCTTCAAAAGCTGGTCCCGCTGTCTCATTGTTATACATCTCTTCCTCTGTGCTCTGGCCTGCTTTGCAATAAAGGATCCCGATCTTGTGCTGAAAGCTCAGCTGAAATGGGGGAGAAATATAATTACTTGGCAAAGCATATCAGACAAGCTAACTTCCAGTAAAATTAAAACTACAGAAGCTGAGAACTGTTCTAGGAAAGCATGCCAGAACAATTCCCACAAGCGAATAAGCAAAAGAGCAGGCAACTGCCACCGTGTGAGATGCTACAAATAATAACCCAGAAACCCCAGAACACAGCTGGAGACATGTCAGAAACCCTAAAACATAATGGCCATGGCCATGTGGGATTTGCCAGATTTCCAAAAAGGACAGGAAGTCAAAGTTCAAGCATCTACTTAAAAATAGAACTGTGGAAATACTTAATCTGATACACTTCATATAGTAATTAGGATTATCTTCCAAGTTGGAGAGAAAAAAGGCTACAAACTTTTAAAAGTTTCCCTCTCTAGTAATACCTTTTTCTTCTTTATTTGAATTTTATATATTTCTTGTAAATATGTTAAGACTGTCAGGAAAAAACAAATCAAATTAAGGTCTGGTAAGGGTAGAATTCCAATGGAAATTATGATATATGCATATAAACATTAAAATGTTTTGTTGCCATAAAAAAGTAACTGGCTGTCAATTTATATTCATTTCTTACATTTTTAACTATTTTGAAAACATCTGCTAAATATACAGTGTACTACAAAAAATTCTAATAGCAACTGAGGAGCTTTTGCTATAATCCTGTCTTAGGTCAATGTCACGTTCATGCTGGAAGCCATGGGACTTCCTCCCAAGGCCAGTAAGAAACTGCATGCATTTTTATAGCTTTCTTATGTCCCCCAAAGAGGAACTACTTCTCACTCACGCAATCAGAGCTCTTAATCTTACTAACAGCAATCTGAGCCTCAAAGGCTGACAGATTATCAGACATCGCCAATTCCCTAAAGACATCCATCCATAACACTGTTCACTTTTATTATCAAGCTGTAAAATGGAGCCTTTAATCAAAATTCATAGCTGACTATCTTAGTAAAATAAGGCAAAATGATACTCATTTCCCTGGAGCAGCAAAGTGATGACAGCAGTCTCATCCATATTATTACCTAATGACAACATGCTATGCAAGAAAGGACCGTGACATCTGCCTGGGTGATCTCAGCAGACATCAGGAAACATTTACTGCATGCTGGTTAAACTTAGAGTTGAGCAGGTAGAGTCAACTACCCGTATATTCTGAATGTATTCCGATCTTGACTAAGCGCTATGAGAGACTACAAAAGGAAACATCACCTGTTTACAATCTGACTGAACCAGCTATCTATACTGATGGATGCTACGGCATTGCAGTTCATGGGCCTTGGGACCCTGTCAAAGCCAGGAGATCCCCAACTGCATAGCGAGGAAAATGATCTGTACCTTCACGGTGGGGATATGAGATGGTGTTCATACACTACTCAATACCTAACATTATAAATTTTCTGAACTACTACTGTAGTAGGGTCAAGAAGAAAACTTTCTATTTACCCAGAGATTGAGGAATCAATGTTTCTGATCAACACAGTTATTTAAATCAATGAGATAACACATTTACTGAGAATAGATGATCATCTTCAAAAAAATATTAAGTACAATAAAAATGCCTCACCTCATTTTATTATGAACATTATTTGCTCCTAAGTGACTCACAAAACATTTCGGCATCTTAAAGTGCATTAGAGAAACCATCATGATTACTAATTATTACACAGATGTTGGTGACATCTGTAATGGTTGGAATCTGTATTAATACTAAGACGTGGCCTGAAAATGACTGCTTCCCATCATGGACACGATGTTAGTTGACTTCTCTTTCGCTGTGAGAAGAGGATTTCAGCTCTCCAGTTATTTGGCCCTGGCTGTAATGAGAGTTCACCATTAATACTGCAGAATACTAGAGCTGCTATGCTAACTCCAATTCCTGTGCACCTCAGTGCCCACTGCTTCCTCTGCACCCAGTAGAATTGCTGCACCATGATCCTCATCCTTAAAGGTCACTCTGCCCTGGTGGCTGCTGTCCCTGTTTGCGCATCCTCTGCTCCTTCTTACCTGAGACCATTGCCAGTGCCATGTGCCGCGTCATCTGAAGGCCACCTTTGTCTCCAGTGCCTCAGGACAAAAGACAGCTTGCCTCAGTATGCCCTGGCAACTCCAGGAGGAAACGCCCTCCTCTTCTCCTGTCCAGCTCTTTAATGAAGAGTTCTGGAGTAGAGTTGTTTGGGAGCCCAGGGTGTGCACTGTATGTCAAGAAGAGCCGTCACTGGACTGGCACACTTTCTCTCTGACTTGGAGAGTCCTGTGGGCTTGCTATTTCTCGTGAACTCTCATTCAGGCAAAGACCAAACAACTGGGGAACTGAAACCTCATAAAACCTCATTGCTGACTGTTTTGCTGTTAACTTCACACCCTTTTCTTCCCAGTCATTGGACACATCAGCCTGTGTCTAGATCCTAACCATGAACAGGATTTGCATTTCCATCCAAGAAGCTCCTGGGCCCGTGGGAATCAGTGGATGTGGCTAAAGCAGATTTCAAGGCCCTCGGGTGTCTTAGGATAGCTGACATACCCTGGTTCCAAAGAAAACACCTTGTTACACACATGGCATGGCATGGGTTTACCACTCACAGGTATTTGCCAGTCATGCCTACTTTTGATCAGTTTGCCAAGTGAAACTTATACAACAGAAATACCTCCAGTGACTTAAAGAATTGTGGCTTGTTTACAACAAGGACTGATTCCAGTAAAACAATAACAGAATAAAATGTTCAGTAAAGAGACCTCTCTCACCAGTCTTTTTCAGAAACCTGGAAAACAATCAAAATGTGGTATCAACTACAAAATACGGCCAGGGTATTATCAGAAAGCAGCAACATGCTTCTTCAGCTCCATCATAATATAAAGTAAACAAGAGACTCCAGATTCCATACACTAACATTCCTCATTCTCTCAGAACAAGGCTTCATTAAACCTCAAGCTAAGCCTAATACTTAGTCTAGTGCACCAACCTTTATTTAACTGGTCTGATAAGAGCTACGCCAGTCCCACACTCCAGGGATAGAACTAGGCTTGCACTTGGACATAAGTACTGCTGCAAACTAAAAATATTCACTTGTCAAATTTCCCTATGGCTTCAGTGCTGACAGCTGGACATACATACATACATACATACTGCCCAGACAGCAGAGGATCCAAACCATGTCCCATTTTCTGAGACAGGATAAAAACTGGCAGCTCTATTTCCAAGGCCAGAAGCTTTGTCATTATTGACAAGAAATTTACATTCAAACGAAGGTCAGAAAAAACAAAGCCTCAGAACTGCTTTCAACGTATATTTGAGTGTGCAATAAATCCCTTCCACTCCATTCTCCTGACTCAGTCTACTTGTTCTAGGCATGTAGTCTCATTTATTTAGACCTGCTTGACTTCAGTTAAAGCAAATCTGATATTGAGTAAACATACATATCTGGGGTGAGTGGACAAGAGGGGAATGGGGTAGTTGACCTTAAGAACCAATTAAAAATTCTATTAAGAATTTCATAATATCCTAAGATAGTGAGCTGTCATAATTCATTGAAATAACACTTTGTTTACAGTCAACCTATATACTTGTGAGTTTACCTATTAAATACATTGGGATAGTCTTTTTAAAAAGGAAAAATGGAATTTTAGAAGTGGAGAGGTGAAATTACGTAGATAAAGTAGCAAAACCATCAAGGCCTTGTTTAATAATTACTTTCCTGAAAATTCTCCAGTGTTCAAGTCTTCCTACTCAAAATATCTAACCAAACTGAAAGAACAGAAGGAATGATCTAAACACCCACAGAATCTCCTACTTCTGAAACCTGTCTCATACAGAGCACATATACTCAGTGGCTATATGACAAACCAGATGGACTGCAAACTACAAAAGAGTAGAAGCTAACAATATGTAATTAGGATATATATATGTAATTAGGATATATATATATACACACACACACACACACACACACACACACACACACACACACACACACATATAATTTTGTATATATATATTAGGAGAATATATATATAGTTTGTTTGTTTGTTTTTTTTAGATGGAATCTCGCTCTGTTGCCCAGGCTGGAGTGCAGTGGTACGGTCTCAGCTCACTGCAACCACCACCTCCCAGTTCAAGCAATTCTCCTGCCTCAGCCTCCCCAGTAGCTGGGATTACAGGCACCCACCACCACATCTGGCTAATTTTTGTATTCTTAGTAGAGACAGGGTTTCATCATGTTGGTCGTGCTGGTCTTGAACTCCTGACCTCACAAGATCTACCCACCTTAGCCTCCCAAAGTGCAGGATTACAGGCATCAGCTACCAGGCGTGACCCATATGAGGTTATACTTTAAATATATTTTCAAGATTAAAAAAACCCTTAGAACAATAACAAAATTGGCCCATCCCTTCCTGGGAAGATTTACTATTAAGAAAATGAATTAAAAAACAGCATTGGTGTCTCCACTACCCTAATAGGCTACTAGCGATTTGTTAAGAATTCTTTAGACACTGGGATGTTAAAAAAAAAGCTGTTCAATCTCTTATAGAAATGAACATAAACAGTGTATTTTCCTCATGTATAATGGAAATCTGATACCATTCAGAGTTTTAGGGAGTTAAAATGCCATACTGTGCTTAAGTCTGAATAGCATTAAGAACGTATACCAAAGTCAAACAAATATAAAATCTAGAGAAAAGCCCATGAACTACTACTAGAAATATGAAATGCAGTGGTTTGCATCAAAGCAGAACCCCATTTTCAAAATTCATTCATTGACATCAGACTGTAAATAGATGTTCAGTAAAAATACTTAAAATGCCTGGTTTTTAGAATCACCTGGCATAGCTTTGAGACCTATCTGACTGCACAGACATTCCAAGGAGCTTGTACTTGATTCAGAAGGCAATGGGGGACATCGAAAATTTTCCATTAGAATGTGGCATGATCAGAGGTGTATTTTAGGAAGATCATTCTGGTAGAAGAAAGGTAGCCCACATTCACTGATGCCTAAAACAGGCTGATAAGGATAGAAACTGATGGTTACATCAATCAACTTGTAGCGGCCATGATGTCTTTTTTCACTGCTCGGCAAAAGAAGCCCTCGATGGTAGCAGGGGCAGAGCCTTGAGGGTTTCTGGGGAACATGGACCATCTATAAAACTTTCTAGAGCAGCCTCAGGGGACCAAATGAATGCCTCACCCACCAGGCACCTGCTCTGTAGTACAATGATATATTTTAAAGGGTGAACCAATATATCCTACAAAGGTATAAAGAACTACCTACCACATAGGTGGCAAGTTCTTTTCACCAGCTCTCTTACAACATGAAAATAAATGCTATTCTTCACATCAAGCCTGCCTGAACTCCCAGCACTTTCAACCAACCCCGCTATATCCTCTCTAACCCGCCCTAATATGTTTTCATCAACTCTTTCATGAACATTTCATATATTCCACATACTTTACCAGTCATAATCATGGTAAACCTGTTCTGTGTATTATGCAATTTTAGAAGTCACCTGCTCGAGATTAGAGTTTGGTTTGTTAATGTCAGTTTTCATTCCTGAGACACAGCTCAAGATTATTCATTCTGAGTGTTAGAATATCTGCTTCTTTTTGCTATTAATGCAGTGTTAACGTTTCATCACTTTTAGAATTCTAGCCATCTGAGGTGTCAAATAGTTGACTTTAACCACATTACTATCCGATCAACCAAGAAATACCTCATATTCCCTCTAAAACATACAGAAGAATGCTACTTGGGAAATTCTGAAATTATACATTGTCACTGTCTTTTTAAAATCATGGATTTAAAAACAAATCCACTCATTTAAAATATATTGCATGCACTTGAGCACATACTGCTCAGTTTCCTCTATGAGTTATTGTGCAAATGAAACTTAAATACCTTTTTCCATATTCTGAAGTAACACCTCAATTCTGTCCATCACTAATTCTCTCCTGGACAATGTCAATAATCACATAATTAATTTCCACTTAGCCATCAGTCTCTATCTTCATCAGCCTGTACAATTCCCTTTTATCAGAATAATCTTCCTAAAATACAGTTCTGATCACTTCACATCCCAACAGAAAACCTTCGATGGCTCCCCACTGCCTGAATCAAGTGCGAGCTCCTTAGGCTAGCATTCTAGGTCTCATTTGTTCTAGGCTCAACTTACTTCTCCCACCCCACCCACCTCACCACCCCTCTTTTCTTTGTAAAGAAACTAGTCATAGTTCCTAAAACAGCACTCCTCATGTCTCCCTCTTAGGATTCTATCCAAGTCCAAAGGCCCAGTTAAAATGCCACCTCTTTGGGAGATTTGCCCAGTCAGATGTTATTTCTTCTTTCCCAAAGTACTCACTGCACTGCATTTACACCTCTCCAAGATCTCTTACCATCTTCTGCAATGCAGAGGCCTTTCTGCTCTTAATCTTACTGTCCCCATAGACCAAGGACTAGGTCTTAGTCAGCTTCGATCTTTCTAATGCTTGCTGTTCACACCCATCTGTCAGCATGATGCCTTCCACATAGGAGACAAGATTAAATGCTGGTTCAGGGAAAGGGCCAACCTGAGATTTTTAAACCTAGGAAAAAACCACTACTGACCTCCATTAATCATGCAATCAGATACACTCTTGCAAGCTGGGACACACCAAAACCTTGGTAATAACAAAAAGTCACTACTCAGCAGGAGGTGTGTTATATACTATGATGGCATCGTGTTTCCAAACTAGTATAAAAATATATTTGGGAAAAACAAAAGAGAAAATGTTCTGAGGCATTTAAAATAAATGATCTTACAAGAAAGACGGATGGGAAAACTCCAAAACTTTTAGAAACTGACAGAAATTCACACACAAACATACAATCTCACATTATACACACCCCTTGTTCATCAAGCTTAAGCAGCTGCTCTGAGACCTTGGGTGAGTTGGAAGCCTGTCGCAGGCACTGAATGCTCAGCTCTGGAATGACGTATTCCAAAACTTCTTTGAGAGGTAGTCCTCGTGCGGTACCATGCCTAGCAGTGGAGGGTACAGCATCTTCTAAAATTGCTCCTCTCAGAGTTGTAAGCTGCAGGGACAAAACGTAAGACTCCGGTTAAGACTGATTCTCAATTACCCACTTAGAGCCTAATCATTTGGCTGCCTTAAGAAAGGAAAAAAAGAAGCAAGGCTCTTTCTGAGTGTGGCAAAAAGGGCTAAAGTGCTCCATTTGAAGAGACAAAATCAATACTCAGAGTCTTTTTTTTTTTTTTTTTTTTTTTGAGATAGAGTCTCGCTCTGTTGCCCAGGCTGGAGTGCAGTGGTGTGATCTTACCTCACTGCAACCTCCGCCTCCTGGGTTCAAGCAGCTCTCCTGCCTCAGCCTCCCGAGTAGCTGAGACTACAGGCACGCACCACCATGACTGGCTAATTTTTGTATTTTTTGTAGAGATGGGGTTTCACCATCTTGGCCAGGTTGGTCTTGAACTCCTGACCTTGTGATCCACCTGCCTCAGCCTCAAAGTGCTGGGATTACAGGTGTGAGCCATGCCTGGCCAACACTCAGAGTCTTTAAAAAGTAACAGTGTACAAGGATCAGGAACAAGCCAGGTGAAGTGGAAATGAGCAGATGTATGCCTAAGAATGAGGAGAAGCAAGGCAGAGCAATGCTATGAAAATTAGGACATTCCTACAACTCTGAACCCACATGAGAGGAAACTAGATATGATATCCTGGACCTGGCCATAATCACTCTTCTTCCATCCTCCCTTTCTCCTATCTCTCCATCTTCTTTTCTTCCACTCCCTTTCTTATCTTCAATTTTCCATAGTGACCATTCCTGAGGCTGAACAGGAGAACAAGAGCCTGTGGCATCCATGGGCAGGGTAATTCAGGGCTGAGAAGATAACCACTAAATTTTGTCTCATGTTTTTTTAGGTATCCTCGAATTCACCACTCAAACATGCAATCTATATTTGGAACATGTGCCTAAGATCTAATACAATGAGAGAGAAAACCCTAGAACCATAAATGAAGAGACCTGATTCTACTTCAATCTCCTTCTGACTCACTCCGTTGCCCAGAGCGAGTAAGAGAGTCCTTAGACTACTAACAACAGGAGCTGGGTTGATGGCAGTCATAAGGATACCTAACATTTGCATAATGTTCCATAACACTGGCCAACACATGAACTGCAACGAGAACAATGTTCTCTATCTATGCTAATACGGGAGCCCCTAGCCACATTAGCTACTGAACACTCAAAATCGCTAATGCCATGAAGGAAAAGGATCTAGTCTTGTTTAGTTACTTTAAATTTAACATTTAAATTAAATTAAGCATTTAAATTTCATTTAAATAGCCACCTGTGGCTAGTGGCTACTGAACTGAACAGCACAGATCTGTAACTTAAAATATGTCACTTTAAGAGAGAGACTTTACCTCACACATACCTAGAATAGAGCCTATGTCACTGGGACACCTATGTATTAGGTAAGATGAACAGGGGTACATATGTTCATACAGCTGGAAACTAGAAAAGGGCTCTGTGTTGTCTTTGATCTGGAAGCAGTTAACCAAAATACATGTTCTGGAGTATCTGCCAAATATATATCCTCTAATTAAAATGTACTAAAAGGATAAAAGCTGAAGTGCTGGACAGATCTAATTCTTTTCATTTTTAAGAGACAGTGTCTTGTTATATTGCCCAGGCTGGAGTGCAGTGCCTATTCACAGGTGCAACCATAGTGCACTATAGCCTCAACTCCAGAGGCTTAAGCCATCCTTTCACCCCAGCCTCCTAAGTAGCTGGGATTACAGGCATGTGCCACCATGCCCAGCTTCAGACTTAATTCTTTATATAAATCAATATCTCTACCTATTTAGCCATACATGTTGTGTCATTCGTCCAACAATCTCATTTTCCACTAAAAGCAAGACAGGCAAGAAGCTAACCTGGGTCCTCAGTGTAACAAAGTGTGGGTAGTAATGACTGTCCTGGTGGGTTCTGGACTTGCATGGGACCTGTAGCCCCTTTTTTTGGCCAATTTCTCCCATTTGGAACAGGAACATTTACCCATCCCTGCAGTCCCATTGCGTCTTGGAAGTAATTAACTTGTTTTGGATTTTACCGGCTCATCAGCAGAAGGAACTTGCCTTATCTCAGATGAGACTTTGTTCTGTGGACTTTTGAGTTAATGCTGGAATGAGTTAAGACTAGGGGACTGTTGAGAAGGGATAATTGTATTTTGCAATGGGAGAAGGACATGAGCTTTGGGAAGGACCAGCGGTGAAATAATATGGGTTAGATTTGTGTCCCTGCCCAAATCTCATGTCAAATTAGAGAAAGGGCCTGGTAGGAAGTGGCTGGATCATAGAGGTGAATTTCCCCCTTGCTGTTCTCATGATAGTGAGGTCTCACAAGGTTTGATAGTTTAAACATGTGTGGCACTTCCCCCTTTGCTCACTCTCTCTGTCCTGCTCCATCATGGTGAGAACTGCTTGCTTCCCGTTCACATTCTGTCATGATTGTACGTTTCCTGAGGCCTCCCACTCATGTTTCTTGTTAAGCCTGCAGAACTATGAGTCAATTAAACCTTTTCCTCATAAATTACCAGGTCTCAGTAGTTCTTTATAGTAGTGTGACAATGAACTAATACAGCCACTTAATATCCATGACATGTTTCCGAATTTTTCACTTGGAATAAAATGCTACAATGCCCTTTTTAATTACCTTAAATGTTGCAATCATTCACATTAAAAAAATAAACTCAGTACCCTATCTAAAGCACACTCAAGCAGTAACATCAAAGGAAGTTTTAGACTTTAGCCCATAACAATGGCAAGGAATTCCATTACCTCACTTGTCCTGAAAGCCACCCTATAGTTGAACTGGGATCCTTCTTTCTCCTTGGCATCTTCCACCTTCTCTCTCCGGATGCTAACTGCCACTGGACCAAGGTTTTCATCTATTCCAAAGTAGTTCTGGTGCTCTGTAATGAAAGAGAGAGGGTGACATCAAAAGAAAGAGAAAGGGACAAAAAGCGGGATGGATATCTCTTAGTCTGTGTAACGAATCTCTGAGGAAATACCACACAGCTCATACACAACCATTTCCCTGTATTTGTTTGATCAAATCTTCTGGTTTCCAGTTTGGATGCACTTCTACATCTCATTTTCAATTACTTCCTCTTCTCATTATGCTTTTCACTAGTTCCTGAACAGCAAAAGCCTCCCTATCCCAAAGTTGTTATTTTGTGATTATGTGAATAGCATCATTAGAAAGAGGTACTGTCATTCTTAGAAACTGTCAAATGAGGAACATGGATACTTGAAGAATCTATACTGAAAACAGTTTCCCTCTGTCTGGGAAAGTCATCATCTTTGACTCAATGAGGGTGCCAGAAGTGATCTAAGTAGCCATTCAGGCCAGCCACATTAATCTTGGTGATCAGTAGTGTAGCAAAGATCGCCTTTTCATTACAATGTCACTAAAACAGCATAAGGTTTCTAAAGTTTATAATGTTCATAAAGTCTAAAGCACAATTTAGGAACATAAAATACATAAAAGGTCAGCAAGGTGCTAAAGTCAAATTCTATCTACAAATCCTGTAACTTGGTTTTCAATGCCATCAGCTAATCATTTCTTTCACATAAAATCACTGGTCTTTGAGGGATCTAAAACTCATACCATCTACATGGAAAGGTGGAGCCTGAGGCCATACTGTTCACCTAACACAGGGATCCCTCCAGGACATCTTTCCTAAGAGACAGTCATTATTCTCTTATGAATATGTACAATCACTACATGTGGGCATCGTTTCAGCCATGGGGAGAACATTCCAGAAAATAGTCCCTACTTATGAAGCAAATACTCTATTCTGAACCCTTTAAATGATATGAAGCTTACTGCTCTGTAAGCAATTCCCTCTAGACTGCTAGTTTCTTGTCAGTGAGCTCTGTTAAAAGCAGCCAAAACACCTCATTGCAACTTTGAAACTTTTAAAATGTTTCCTCTGAAATGACCCGAACTTAACACAACATTCAAGATACGGTCCAACCCACACAAAATAGACGGAGGAATTACCCAAATGCTTATGAATGCAGCTTAAAATTTTATCTATTTTTAGCAGCTCCATCCTACCAATAATTCATGTGAGCAGGTGGTAAACGCAAACCTCCAGGTGTTATTCATTTATTTCTTAATGAACTGCTGCCAGGTCAGTTCTCCAAGGTGTATCCTTATAAAATTATATTTTTTTTACCCTGACTTACGGTTTTTTTTAGCTAAAAAGAAAAAAAACAGTGAACATGTACAAGCTTGAAGAAAACTTATAGGTATTCCAAAGGCTTTTGGTTATGCCAATGCTTGCCACAATGATTTTTGAAGGAATAAGAAATGTTGCTGAGAAAGTAGAAAACAGAATGAGATCAGCAAAGGAAAACAGCACCAGAATCACTCAGAATACACACTATCCAAAGCCACTAATGAATACTGGCTAGACCTTGAAAAGGCAAATCATTTACCTATTTGCTGTTTGCAACCAAACGGGATTAGGACTGACATTATTTCCCTTTAAAGTCAGGGATAGAAGCAGCAAGCAAACTATTTTAAAAGATGAAAGGTGAATTATTGACATAGTATAGTCCTAGACTGGCACAAAAGGAAACTAGCCTATTTATTTTAGTGAGTAATAAATCCCTCGGGCATACTGCAGTCACGTGCTGCGTAATGCTGCTTTGGTCAGCGATGCAGCACATATACCAATGGTGGTCCCATAAGATTATCATGAGGCTGAAAAACTACTATAGTCTAGTGACATTACAGATGTCATTACATGGGAATCCAACATATTACTCAAAACCAAAAAACATTCTTAAAATAAAAGTAAATTAAACAGAAAAAAACGCTTACAGAATAAGGATATGAAGAAAGTATTTTTGTACAGTTGTACAACGTGTTCATTCAGTGTTACTACAAAAGAGTAAAAACATTAAAAAAATAAAGCTATAAAGTAGAAAAATTACTGTAAGCTAAGGTTGATTATTAGTAAAGAAACTTTTTAAATCAATGAAGTGTTTCCTAATATAAAGCGTTTGTGAACTTTAATAAATGCAGTGTTGCCCAGTGTACGGTGTTTATAAAGTCTGCAGCAGCAGAATGTCCTAGACCTTCACATTAACTCACTACTCAATCACTGACTCACGCAGAGCAACTTTTAGTCAGTCCTGCAAGCTCCATTCATGGTAAGTGCCCTGTACAGGTGTACCACTTTTGATCTTTCATACAGTATTTTAACTGTACTTTTTCTATGTTTAGATACAAAAATACTTACCATTGTGTTACAACTGCCTATGGTATTCAGTACAGTAACATGCTGCACAGGTTTGTAGCCTAGGTGCAAAATGCAATACCACAGAGCCTACATGTATAGAAGGCTATCCCATCTAGGTTTGTGTAAGGATGCTCCATGGCATTTGCACAATGATGATATTGCCTAAGGATGCATTTCTCAGAGTGTATCTCTGTCGTTAAGTGATGCATGGCTGTATTGTGTGCTGATAATAGCCAAGGTAGCTATTACAAACATAAAAACTCTAGTGACATTAAGCATATATAAACAACGATCTGGGATTAGGAAGAGCTGATCCAGAAGCAGGCAAAAAATATATATATATTCAGTGAGAACAGAGACTAAAAGTTAATTGTCTACTTCAGACTACTAAGTACACTGTCACTGTACTAAGTTGGCATTAGTGACGACTGGACCCACGACATTAGATCCTATGGAAAATGCATCTTTAAACTTAAATCAGTTTAGAATATTCTCAGTTGCAGTTAGTTAACCATCCTGACAATAACTTTTGTTTTTCTCTCAATGAGTCAAATGCATCATAAGCCAAATGCATGAAGAAAAATATTCAGAAAGCAAACAAAAATACAAGAGTCATAAGACAAAAGCTTCCTTCTTATAACACATTTCAAAAAGTTACCTGCAAAAATACTCAATTCTATATTTGGCATTTGATGAGCCCTATAACAAGATCAAAAGAGTTTCAAATTATTGTAGGTATACAAGAGTAAATACATAAAACTACTTTTTATGGTAAGATTGAGAGCCTCAGATTAAGAAAATCAAATCTCTAATTCTAATAGATGACAACATAAAATGATCATATGTGTACTGCTTTCATACTCAGCAGGTGCCACAGGGACAGAAAGCAAGGGCCATGGCTGCCAGGGGCTGGAAGGAAGAGCAAAGGGCTGACTACAGAGGCGGCATGGGAGAATGTTCTGGGGTCACAAAGCTATTCTACACTTATTGTGGTAACGGTAACACGATATTTATTTCTCAAAACTCTCAGACATGCGCATTAAAAAAAGTAAATTTTACTGTACATAAAATACACCTTCAGTTTTAAAAACTGGAGGGAGGTGGGTTCAATGGAAGGAAGGGCTGGTGGTCCTTGCAAATGGACAGGGCCTTCTGCGCAGACAGAAACCATGACTGTTTCACTCCCTCACAGCCTGTCAGTGGGGATAGTACCTATTCCTGAAGTCATCATTCTCTCTCATTCCTGTTTCCTTAATTAGTATTTAATCCTCAATCCACGTCAAACTTCTGCCAAGCTATTGCTCCACTCAAGGTCTTGTTGCCAAATCCAACTACCTTCCAGGCCTCCAGCTGCAGCAGCTGTCTGCTGTGTGACACCAGTGGCCACTCCCTTCTTGTCGGGTCCCTCCACTCCTCCACTTCTATGACATCTGTTTTTTCCAGGTGAGATTGCTTCCTGGTCTTTCACTCCAGGTGTCTGGCATGGCTCCTCCTGTGGCCTCTCCTTACAGCATGAGTGTTTCCCAAGACTCCAGCCTTAGACCTTTCTGATTCTCTGTCTTTATACTTACATGAATATCTATCTTCTGACTTTCCATCTATTCACCCATCTTCTACTTCATGTTTGTCAATGATATCATCCCAAACTTTTTCCAGGCTCTTCTCTCACAAATCCCTGGACTAATAAAGGACTAGAGAAGCATACTCCACCATTGATGGGATCAGCCCTGGACTTCACCTGCTCCCTCTGCCTGGAATGTCTTCCACTCTTCTTCACTTGACATTCTTCTTACTCATCATTCAAGCCTCAATCCAAACGCCATTTCCACTGGAAATACTCCTCTTACCTCCAAAAAGGCCAAATCCTTCCAATTTTACATCCCAGGCCTATTGATACAGCGCCTAATAAATGAGAGGTGCCTAATAAACTGTTCTTCAATCACTGAACTGTAAAAGTAGGCTCCTCTGGTATTGTCCAAAAGCAATGGTTGTATTTGACCTCAAGCAGGAATACAGAGATAAAAACAGGGAGGTAGCTTATTTAATGTCAGAAGTGATGAGACAGTGTGAAGCATCTCGGAGTCTGCGGCAGGCATTTCTGTCAGTGACAGGGGCAATACCGTTTCTTGAAGTATTTATAAAACCGAGAACTTATATATCTATTAGAACTTACATGGCAACAGACCTATTATGTCCTACTGCTGTAACAAATTTTCAATAAACTTCTGGCTTAAAACAACTCCATTTACTGCACACAGCTCTGGAGAGCAGAATTCAGCTTTAAAAAGCAAAAATCAAGGTTCTGGGGTGGCTGCATTCCCCTGGGCAGCTCTAGAGGAAAATCCATGTCCTTGCCTTCTCTAGTTTCTAGACCCACATTCCTTACATTTCTTGGCTCATGGCCCTTCCTCCATCTTCACAGCCAGCGGCCAAGCATCTCATTTCAGTGGCCACATTGCCTTTCTCTTCTGTGGTCAAATTTCCCTGTTTCTCTCCTATAAGAACACCTGTGATGGCATCTAGGTCCCAGCCAGGTCCCGCCCGGATAATCCAGGATAATCTCCCTATCTCAAGATCCCTAACTTAACCCAAACTGCAAAGTCTCTTCTGCCATATGAGGGGACGTACACAAGCTCCAGGGATTAGGACCTGGACAC